GAATCCACTAATGGACAGATGCAATCACCGGATGCAGCAGGCACATTTTCCTCTTATACTTCAGCGGAGAGGGATAGGCTTAATGAAGAGAGACAATCTCAGCCATGAATAAACATAAAGCCTTATATCATAATATCTTATACCATTCATCATAGCAACTGGGAAACCAAAACATCTTTTTCAGCAACTTCATAAAGAATGACCACTTGTGAATAGGTGCACAGTTGGACGAGTAAAGCTTCCTCTAAGGTGGCCACTTTTATATTGGCAGCTTTGAAAATAACAGTCCTGGAGAAAAGTCCAGTAATTGGCCAAGCTAAAGAAGTTTGTGATGGGGTAACTATAATGTTCAAATTACTACCGTATGCAACAGGAGAAATCTGATTTAAAACTGCTAGTAAGCAAGAGGTTCCATGGGCTCGGTAAAAAACTCTTGCCCTAATCAATCTTACAGGAAATACAAGGAAACAACTACATAGATTGCTCAAAAGCTTTATCAGAATTACTTATTCTGTTGCAGAGGATACAGTATTCTACAGAGCAAAGATAGGGGTGCTACAAGAAGCTATAACCTTGTATTTGATAAGGATAATGCTGTGGGGTATAAGTAGGCAGAAGGCAGTGATCAACCAGAGCTGGATTCAGAGGGTTTCCTGTTAATTGTGGTAACATCTTTATAAAGTTGTCAGAATAGCTTGACAACTTGATATATCCATTCAGCACTCACGGAGCCTTAAACTTGTCTCTCTGCAATGCTCAGGGGAGAAGTAATGTTCCATCAGAGAAATGTGTTCAAAGACATTATCAAGTCGAAGGAAGAAGCTGCATATTTGCATGAAAAAAGGGCCCCTCGCCAATTTCTGCTCTCTTTCCCAATCTTGACCATTTCACACTTTCCTAGAAAGCAGTAATCCACAAAAGATGCACACCTCCCAATGACGGTGAAAAAGCAGAAGTAGACAGAAACACACAAAACTAGCTAGTGAGCTAAAGGATGATTCAGCAAATAATAAGTCACAGCAATGGGAGGAGATGGGCTGGAAAAGGGCACTGTGGGAATCAAGAGGATACAGTATTAGGGAGTTAGCCAAGTTATGTAGTAAGCCTTGATAGATACATGGATGTGGTTTGACAAACCATGTTGGGTAAGGACTGAGTGGCTGCCTCAAAAAAAAATGTCCCAAATTGTTGAGGGCCTGAGAAAATAGAGAATTGGAAAATATTAATAATAATAATAATGATAAAGTTGGAAGGGACCTCAGAGGTCATCTAGTCCAACCCCCTGCTCAGGCAGGAAACCCTATACCATTTCGGACAAATGGCTGTCCAGTTACTTTTGACAGCATCTGGCTGTTTTCAAATAGGTGGGATATGTAGAGAGTAGCAAAGATAACCAATTCTCCTATCACTTTTTCCCTACGTGCCCTTATCCCCCTGTGTCCTAGGGTATTGAGACCCCCTAGGAAGCAGATTACCTGTGAATTACCCAGCATGCACTGAGATACCCTCCAGCGATGGCATCACACACAGCATAAAATGGAGGCCTGTGGAACAAGGAAGTGGCAGTTTCTTTAACTTTCTTCTCCTTGCCCTGATTCCCTACATATGAAGAACCCACAAATCACCTCCCTACCTGAATTTCCTACATGCGTTTAAAAAAGTATAAAAACATACTGGGCTGTAACGTTGAGCATCCACTTTACTGCTTTTCCCCTTTTCCATGGAGCCGGCAGCATTGCTAGAAGGGAGCAGCTGAGTTACTGAAAGGAACCAAGCACAAAATAACAGTAAGTTAAAGTGTATTCTGGGGAGGATTCAGCTGTGATGGAAAAAGTCTGGGAATAGGATCAATCAATTATCAACAACCTATGATACACAAATGGCACATTTATCTGGGATATTTCTCATTTGGTAATGCTCCTTAGTAAAATTCTATTTTTCTTTCTTCTATGTGGAAGATACTTGGTGATGATCTTTTGATTTGGAATTCCAGGATTTAGAATTTAAATCTCAAGAGCCGGGGAAGAAGAACATATCTTCCCTGGGATATCTAAGAATGAGAAAGAAATTAATTTGATTAACTTTTTAAGGTGAAGTTACTGAATTTGCACTGAATGTGTATGCTGAGATCTGCTCCTGGCTGAATATTGTGAAAAATGAACACATTAGAGAAACTGCAAATGTCTAATAATGCATATTAGAGAAATTACTAATAAACGTGGTAGGGAAAAGTCCATTCAAAAATGCATGCTAGTAGCCTTCAGAAAAATGCATACAATTGTTCAAACTTATCCTAAATTGAGGAAAGAAACACATCCCTCAATTGTCCTGTTCATCAAATAAAGACTCTCCAGAATTTGTCTACATTGAAAACCAGAACCACTACAATATTCCACGTTTTGGTTTGGTCAAACCGTAGCCCAACAATTTGGTCAAAATCTTGAGACACAATGTATCCGTTTTGGGTTTAAAACAAAATATATTTGCCCCTACTTTTACATAACATATAATGTCAGGTGGTGGTAGTGCCTGACCAATCTTTTCTTAGATTAATTGTACCTGCTTAGTACTTGGGCTAGAGAGCACCAGAGATTTCTAATGCTGTAGAGAAAACTTCCTGAAAGAAGGTTGTGACAAACCTTCAAGAAAACAGCATGGAATCAAGCTTACTCAAAGGAGCTTTACTTGTGCAATCGTTGGGGGGGGGGGAATGCACCCAAGAAAATATTCTTGGTGAGAGTATAGATAAAAACTGTCAGTATTTCTGCAAGATCCTCAGTTCACTTGATTATTCCCATACAACTACCCACCTTGGTTACAAAATTAGAAGTAGCCAGATTAATCATAAACCTAAATAAGTGGGAAAAAACAATAATACTTTTAACAATATATGGCAGAAATCAAGCCTGCATGTAATTGGATTCTATATTGTCACAGGGCTTCTCTGGGTCTATTGACACTGACTTATAGCATGTAGGTATACTAGCCGACCACATTGTAGAAAAAGGAATCCATGATATTTGACGGAGGAAGAGAATCAAGCTGGAACTTTCAAGGAAGATTAATGACAGCTGGGCACCATTCTATCTCAGTGGAAAGGTCTAGAAAGGAAACCTAAAAAATGACTTAAGAGATTTTATATTCATAGAGAAGGAATGTGAAAGGAGCAATAAAGAGCCCCTGATTGAATCTAAAAGATCATTAAAAAAGCAGCCAAGGGAAATATTGGGGAATCATCTTTCTGTTCAAGATACACTGACATTCTTGCCTAAACATTTGTATAGCTTATTTGGGGGGTAGGGGAGGAGGGAGGAATTCTGAGCGTACGTAAGTAATAATAATTCAATTTCTATCTTAAAATTCTGAGAATTTGGCCAATGTGTGTGAACTCAGCTTAATTTTACGCTAGCTTCAGAAGCTCATTAAGAGAGTTCTAGGAGAAAATTTTCACAGTTTCTACATTCATCTGCTGGAATAGACACCTGTCTGACATCCAAGGGAGTTTTAGCCCTCAAACCAGGTAAAAAGTTAGAATGTAGATGTCACTACATTCTGAAATTATTTCACAAATGCTGACTGCAATTCAATTGGGTAAGGACTGCACCAATCTTGGACTGACGAGGTTAAGTGCAGGTGTGTGCGCGCAGACACCTGCACGCACACCCACACCCACACCACACACCATTTCTGTTCTCTAAGTAGCCTGTCAGCTGAACAAGTAAAACAAAATCTCCATTAAATTTTACCTGTTAGTACCACCACGGTATCCATTCTAGAAAGTGGTAAAAATATATGAAATTATACTGAAAACTCTACTGGTAAACATGTAGCTGATTGATAGTAGGTTCAGAAATTGTAATACTTCGGACACTTCCGGTGGCAGGCGTCTTCGTCGGTCGCAGCTGTTTGCTGCCTCCCGCCTGTTTCGCGTAAAAGCCGGTTTGACAGCTAGCATCAGCTGTCAAACGGCTTGATACCTTTCCCCTGGGCATAAGGGGATAGGTGAGCTGCCCGGGGTAGGAGTTGAGTTCCCGAGTCGTCCTATATGGACGATGTAGGTGAGAACTC